TAAATATTTTTTTAATTAACATTATTTTGGGAGAAAACTCTCACTTTTCGATCAAATATTATTGAGTAGTACTAGAGGTGGACTCGGGCCGGGTCGGGCCCGGGCCGGGCCTAGGCCCGATCGGGCCGCCGGTTTGTATCACATGGACCCGGGACCGGCCCGAGGGTTGGACGGGTCCGGTTCGGGCCGGGCCACCCGCTCGGGTCACGGGTCGGGCCACCCGCCGGGCCGGGCCGGGCCGGTTAAAGTATTTTTTTTTATAATTTATACTTTGTAGTTTTATACAAGTATTAAAAAAAAACTTCAAATGCATTTATTTGAAGTGAAATAGGAACTACATTTGAAAATTAAAACAAACTTCAAGAGACATACATTTTGTAAATTGTAATCAATCGGAACTTCCCGCACCTCCCGGTCCTTTGGGTTTGTCACATGACTTAATATGCTTCATTGTCATCCCGTATCCGCCTGAAACCCCCATGCTACATTTTTTTCCGCACCATTTGCAAGTTGCGTACCACATCCCGGTCTTCGGGTCCTTCTGCTTATCAAAATTATACCGTATAGCGGCATCTTGACTTTCCATCTTAAAAATGGTAGATATAATAATTCTACAATAGATGGAGATAAAGATGGAGATTAGAGAATGGAGATTATAGATTGGATGTTGGAGAAGATGTGTATAAAAATGTTAGAAAATAAGAGTATTTATAGAATTTTTTGTACCCCCACCCCCCATCCACCCCCACCCCCAACGGCTCTATGCCTCTATTGATTCAAATTTCAATAGAGCCGTTTGGGGCTTTTTAATTTTGATTTCAAAATTTTTTTGTATGTTTTATTTTGAATAAATTACATAATGTAAAATTAATTAATTAATTTTATGAATTCAAACAAAAATGCTACATATAAAAAATGAACGTATATTTATTTGAAATATGTACTACAAGTTTACAAGTTACAATTGAGAATTGAAGGTAAAATGGGAAAACTATCAAATAAGCTCTCGAACTTTCATAAAAAGTGCAAATAAACCCTTTTATAAGAGGCTCTGTCCGGCCATCGCCATATGGGGCGGTTTCCGTAGGAATTTTTTAATTAAATTTTTTGAGCATCTTTTTCATTAAATCTATTTTACTCATACCAAATATCAGCTAAAACATCAATCGGGAAGACAATCCTATGAATTTTTGAAGATTAGTGCGCAGTTAGACAGCGCAGTATATTTCAGAAAATGATTTGACTGTCTTCCCGATTGAAGTTTTAGCTGAAATTTGGTATGGCTAAACTAGACTTAGTGAAGAAGATGCTCAAAAAATTTCATCAAAAAATTCCAAGGGAAACCGCCCCAATTGGCGACAGCCGGACAAAGTCTTTTGTAAAAGGGCTTATTTGCACTTTTTATGAAAATTCGAGGGCTTATTTGATAGTTAAAACTAATCAATCATTCAATCGGAATCTCCGGCATAGGTAGAGTCACCCTCAGTTGTAGATTCATCCATAAAGTGTTGGGATGAGGTGATGTCAATTTCTTGAGCTCTACGGGCCGCTTTCAACCAATCGTGGTAGCATATAAGCATCTCAAGAGATTCTGCACTCAACCTCGTTCTACATTGCATTAGGACATTACCGGCCAAACTAAATTCTTGTTCCACGGCAACCGTTGAAACCGGCATTGATAGCACTTGCTTAGCCATCTTTGCTAAAACCGGGAACATTCTTTCTTTTCTCTTCCACCAGTTTAGTACGTCAAAATCATCATCTTCTTCAAAATCAACATCATATGTTAAATACAAAGAAATCTCATTAATTGTGCTTTGTTGCGTAGCGGGAGTTGATTTCGTTTTTTAATAAGATTGGCAAATGTAGATTTGAAAATTAATTTTCCTTTAGATGATGTTTGTGTCGGGGGAGGGGGCGCATTGTCATATTGTGCATGAAACTCATTAAATAATGCATAAAATATATCACTAACCTCGATGTATTCTTTTTTCGGATCAATTGGGTTGTCCTCATACATTGGCAATGGACCAAAAAAAGCAGCATAATAATAATTCAAACATTCTTCTAAAGAACCAAGTCTAAAACGAGGATCGAGAACAAATGCAATACCATAAATATGTGGAATATGTGAATAATATTTTAAAAACTTTTCCTTCATAAAACTAGCAAAATAACTCACATAATCAGTATTCTCAAAATTTGAAAAAGCACCGGCGAGATTAACAGCTTCACGAATAAATTGGTTTGAGGTAGGTTTATAAACATGACTAAAAGTTTCAGTTGCATTATTAAAATATATCAAAGCGTTACAAATTTTTTCTCAGGTGTCGATCTCAGCCGAGTTTATAATATAGTTATCATATTGTTTCCTAAAAGCAGAAAAATGTTGTTTATATCTAAGAAGAACTCCAATTAACTTATAAGTACTATTCTATCGAATAAACAAATCTTTAGGAAAAGCCACATATTTCTCACCTCTTTCTATCAAATAATCATGTCATTTTTTCCTGAGTTGTCCATTACCCCAAATACGTCTAATCCCCCCTTGACTACCTCCAACGATGCTACCAGCGCTTTTAGACCATCTTGCACACATAAATTTAGAACATGACATGCACATCGTTGATGAAAAAATCTACCCATCAAAGAAGTAGAACCATACAATTCACGCAATCTAGGAATAACATCAGTATTATTAGTAGCATTATCAAAACCAATAGCAAACACCTTATCAATTAAATTATACTCAATTAAAATACGCTCAATCAAAATATAAATATGTTCAGCGGTGTGACAATCATTAAATTCACGGAAAGCAAGAACACATTTATGCATATGCCAATCATTATCAATATAATGTACAGTCAGACCCAAATGATGTAAATTATGATAAGTATCCTCCCATATGTCAGAACATAAAGTAACACGCCCATCAAAGTTTGCAAAATAATTTTGTAACCTTACCTTTTCCGCACCATAAAGTCTTGAAATTTATTTCTTAACCGTTTTGCGACTATAACCTCTATATTGCGGATTTAAACAAGTTTGTGCATAATCACGAAAATTAAAGCAAGACTTACAGAAAACAAATAAGACAGATTTTCTTCAACAAGTAAGTTAGCCATACCAGTCAAATTTTGTGCATCATTGGATGAGAAATTACCAAAAGCTTGTTGGTTATTTGCAAACCTCGATATTTGAGTTTGCTTCCCCGTTCCGCCGCCTAATTTTGCATACTCCACCGGGTGTTTGGACTTAAGATGTCTTGTGGCAGATCCGTATCCGCCGGAAATCCCCAAGCTATAGTTTTTCTTGCACCAATTGCAAGTTGCGGTCCAATTCCCGGTGTTCGGGTCCTTCCACTTAGAAAAACTATTAGCCATTAGTTCGGATTTACTTTTTTCGTACCGGTTTGGGATGAGGCAGGCTCGTCGGCTTCATGGCTGCCGCCACCCTCCTCCTCCTCGTTGTCGTGGCTCTCCGAAATTATTTCCTGCACACCGTCATCCTCGAGCTCTTCTTCGTCAATGGTCCTCGGTTGGTCTTGAAAAAAGCGGGAATTATGTCGGTGCAATTCTTGTTCTAGTTGTTCGTCGGTCATCGCATCCCCATCCCTCCTTGCGTAATCCGTATCAAAATCATCTCGACTTTGAGATCAAGAGCCGATATGTGATTTACCTTTGCGGGATCTCTTCCTCGCAAGTTCTTTCGTTCGGTTGCGCTCGAGGTTACCCATATCAACCGAATATCTAGGACTATCCATCTAAAAAATGTAACAAATATTAAATTGCAACAAATATATTAATAAAAATATATTAATAAAAAATTGGAGTTATAGCAAATTAGTATTTTAAAGTTTATTTTAATCAAATTAACTAGTGAATTAACTAGTTTTGTGTACAACCTATTTTTTTTACTAACAATGAAATTAATATACTTTAACTTTAACTATAATGAGAATTAACTAGTTTTTTAAACTAGAGTCAAATGTAGCAATTAATAAAAAATTGTAATAAAGTAATTAACTATTAATCTAACTATTTATTCGAGTTATAGCAAATTAGTATTTTAAAGTTTACTTTAATCAAATTAACTAGTGAATTAACTAGTTTTGTGTACAACCTTTTTTTTTTTACTAACAATGAAATTAATACACTTTAACTTTAACTATAATGAGAATTACAACTAGTTTTTTGTACAACCTATTTTTTTTACTAACAATCAAATTATTATAGTTTAACTTTAACTATTATGAGAATTAACTAGTTTTTTTTTTCAAGTAACGTTAATACAAAATTAAACAAGTGTAAATAATAGAATGATTTCGTACCTCTTTCGGACTTTCGGTCTTTCGGATGGGAGTAATAGAATGACTTCAAATTAATTAGATATAATTCCAACTATATTAATAGATATAATAAATGTATAAGTAATATATAATTAGATAACAAATATAAGTAATATAATATTATAATGTATGTATTTATAAATTATAAGTAGATAATTAATATAAAGTAGATATATAAATAATAAATATAATATATTGGAGAATAAGAAAATTAGAGAGTAGAGATTTAAGAATAGGATTTACGAAGAATTGGAGAAGAGATATGAAAAAATGTTTTAGATTAGGAGTATTTATAGGGTTTTTTACCCCACCCCCACCCCCCACCCTACAAACCCCCCGGACCCCCCCCCTGCAGCCCACCCAACAACTATATAGCCGTTTGGGTTGTCCCCATCCCACCCCCCAACGGCTATTTTGGCCCAAAACAAAAAAAACTAAAAAAAGCTAACCGTTGGACCCGGACCCAGGCCCGACCCGGCCAGGCCGGGTCAACTATTTCCGGAACCGAGCCCGCCCCGCCCATCCCCACCGGTTCGGGTCTACACCCGGTCCCGGACCGCCAGACCGGGCCAGTCCCGGGCCCGCACAGTAGCGGTCCGGGCCGGGTCACGGGCCGGGTGGCCCGAACCAAATCCACCCCTAAGTAGTACGTGTATCAAATCTTATTGTAGCAAACATTTCAACACAAAATGTAGTCACATGAAATAGTAAACATGTCGTTTATATAAAAACAAGTACTACATTTAGTACTCTTTCTCAAACGCTTTCGCACTTCTACATTGAAACCATTAATTAGGAGATGCACCCACCATAAGAAGGGCGCTCTCCTATAACTTTGACATTTTTTGACTCTTTCTCGAACGTTTCCGTGCTGCTTCATTGAAACCATGCATTAGGAGCTGCACCCACCATAAGAAGAGGTGTTATCTCCTCCTATAGCTTTGATTGTAATAACTTCATCCACAATTTCTGGGGACCGTGGAGTTATTCTCTTGTCATTGTTGTCTTCTCCTACCCTCAATCCCTCACTTCCATCATTGGCGCCATTGTTTACTTTTGAGTTTTCGGAGTTTTCGCCGGCAACGGGAACCACCATGTTTACAATAATGTGCTCTGGCGGCACGGCCATTTTGTCGTCGTCCATAACGGGCCTTTCGTTTCTGTAGATCCCATATAACACCATTTGGACCATTCCCAATATAAATCCCACCACGTTTGGTAGCTATATGTGCAAGTCACATGACATTGGCAACAACAGAACAATTAGTAATAAAGAACAAATTAATTCTACTTTTGGTCCTACGCGTTTTGTGTCATTTCCACATTTAGTCCACGTTTTCGCTTTGTCCACTTTTGGTAATTGACTAATGTTTCTGATCATTTGTTATCTTTCTCTGGCGATTTTAACTACTGGAATTATCGCCGAAAGAATCATATGTGAGCGAAAACACAATAGTCATGTATCAAATTAAAAGTGATCCAAATCAAAGAAATGAACCAATTGTGGAATCGGTGCGATACTCGTAGGATCAAGAGTGAAATTTATTCAATAAAGAACTACGTAGGACTTCATGTTATATTTTAAATAAGAGTAACAATATAATGTTTCTGAATTTTAAAAGAAAAATTAAATGCACTATTATCTTTTGATTCATTTAATATGAGTAATTACTATCATATTCTGGCATTATCAAACTTTAAACATGACATTATTTTTCAAGTTTAATTGTAATTTCTCTTATATAGAGAATAAAAAACACTGTTCCCCGCGCTTATGTGGAATTCCATAACATATTTACTCCTATTTGAGATTTTTTCCTCACTGATACATAACATACGAGTAGTAATTTTCACTTTACCACTAGCTACACAGTAAATAAACACAGCTTAATTATTACCTTCATCCCTTAGCAACTTTCTAGTTGATACAGAAATATTAAAAAAACTAAAACTTCTTGTATCTTGGATAAGTATTACCGTGGATTACATTATTTTGATACTACTTGACACTACAGAGTCATTATTACTCAAGTGTTGAACAATAAATTGAGAGAATTTTATACACAAAATAAGGAGAATTTTATACTCCCTCTGTCCCTTATAACTATGTCAACTTTTCTTTTTGGGACATCCCACTAACTTTGTCACTTTCTCTTTTAAGTAAAAATTTGTGCTTCTAGTTAATTCTCTCTCCTCTGCACAAACCTCAACCACACAATTTTTACTTTATTAATCTACGTGTCGATCAAACATAGCAAAGTTATTAGGGACGGAGGAAGTATATATATGAAGGAGTGTTATATCTTGGGTCATGAATTGGAGTATGGAAAGACTAATGTAACTATGTAAGGTGAGGAAAGGGAGGAATTAATTGGTTAGGGAAATGTGCTGAATATACATTAGCCTATAAGGTTTTGCTAAACTTGGACTTTTTAATTAGTATTAAAAAATTGCCATTTGGCCAACAATATTAGTTTCACACATCATTTTTTACAAGAGTTTGACTTTTGTATTACTTGCATACTTTACTTCTACTCTATTTTTATTTATTAATTAATAAATTATCTTATGAAAGTTGAGAGTGAATAAGGGTAAAGGTTAAAATGTGTAAAAAAACAGAGACAGAAATATTTGTTTACTTTTAAAAATTAGAAAATTCGAATATAAAAAGTCAAAATTAGTAAATCTGTGAAGGACAGGGTAGTAGCTAGGGTACTACTTACTGCTATGCATAAGTCTTCCAATAGCATACCATAACCAAACCACACAATTGCAGTGAGCGTGAGAAATAATGACAAGCTGAACGGCATGAATTCCACGCTCTTCGTTCTCACTACTTGAAACTGCCCAAAACAAGAATTCCAATCTGTCACATTTTTATCTATAAATTAAATTTTATTACATTCATACTTAAATTAAACATTACTCCATGTATTTCGATGAATTGACGTAATTTTTCCAATTTCTATTGTATAATAAAGTTAAATGTACTTACCATAATAGTGAGGGGAGAAGCGAAAACACACACAGAGACGGCCACACATATCCATCCCACAACATTTATACGAAGCCGCCCCGAAAATGTAAACATGGTGGTCACAAATATCACCGTGTACATTCCTCCGATCAACAAAACCACTAGCTTAATAGTCTGACGCTGTATTTATTTATATATGTTAGAGAAATATATTGCTCAATATAAGAAGAATACATAAACAATGTTAAAAATAGCCTGGCGTAGTATATCTAATTCCTCAAATAGGACTCATTTAGTACTATTACCATAGTAAATTAAATTAAAACTCCCCAAAATGGGAATTAATGAGTCCTATTTTGGAATAACATTATAATAACCTCATTTATGAACTTTGTTCTTGTTTAGTTTCAATTAGTGAATTTTCTCTATGTTAAACACAACTATTATTAATTATTTGGCAATTTTTAAAAAGAGACAACATTAGCTACTAGTCTACCTTAGTTTGTTTTGAGGCATAAGCAAGGAAAATGGAGATATAAATGGTTTCAATAAGGCAGCCAAATGAGTTGATGGAGATCAAAAGGAATGCATGCTTCTTCTTAAGAAAAGCATAGTACATCCACAGCATTGCAGAAAACAAGGCTACCACATAAGGCACTACTTGATAGCCCATTGTAGCTTTTGCTTTGCAGATTCTAACAAACATGGGCCTGCATCAACCCAAATTCAAATGAAACTTGAGCTCACATTTAACTGACATGTTATAGGCATACTCAATTATTATGGGCCTTTGTCCCAAAATCTTCATTTTTAATATTTTATTTTAATAGTTAAACGATTTAATATTAATTTTATGATTATATCTTGAATTGTGATCTTATGTATATAATCTCGTATGTTGCTTTTTGTTTCATATAATCATACATATATATTAACCCAACAGATTAAATCTTCAACATTTATATCGATTATTTTTATCTTAAACAAATCTCAGCCACATATTTTACTAAATTAGTACTCCCTATAAGAAAGAAAGGCAATGGTATTATATTATAGAAAGGAGGGACTATATATAAATCCTACCTCCGCCACTATAATCAAGAATATTTATTTTTAACAATAAATACGGATTTTCACAAAAATATTAATTCTTGTTGAAAATTGAGTCCAAAAATCGTAACAACACTCTTTTTGTGTAATTTTTAAGTATTGTAAGTTTGTAACCTTGGATTTCATTATTTTACGCAATTAAATGTTACTGAAGTGTAAAGTTTGATCATATAATTTGGGAAGGGTGTGTCTAAAATAAGTAAATACTTACAATGGGGAAATGTAAAGGAAGATGGATACAATGTTCCCTGAAACGTTAATATAACAAAAGGTGAGTAACTCATTAAATATTCATACGCACCTATATATAGCATGTGATTTGACTTTATTACAAACAAAGAAAAACTATTAAAATAATGTTAGTTTGACTAATGTGACTTTAGTCTATGTCATTTAAATGTCCACGACTTTATTCAAGACAATTCTAAAGAATGCTCAGATTTAAATTAAACTTTTATACTCCAGTATATGAGAACTCACCTTATTATAAAACCATTCTATAATATTTTATATCATTCATTCATTCTGGACATAACCAGGTTGTTTTGGATATATTACACGGACATATATAAAACGTGCCAAATGTCTCTAAATATGACCGCTAACAATAGGACAAGAGAGTGATACGCAAATTAATAAAAAGTGGTTTATGTGGTTGATATTAAATTGATAAAGTAAGAATAAAGTAATAATGGTTTATAACAACATAAACTTTATCAAATCTGGTATGGATAATCTTAGTGAAACGAACCGATAAGGTAAAATGAGACAATCATAGTGGGACAGAAGTAGTATCATAATTTCAAATAAATGATGCATCCGTAGTATTTCTCTATACCATTCTACTTACATACATTAAGAGGCTTTTAAAGAAATATTACTGAAAATTAACTTTTTTTAAAAAAATATGACTAAAATTATTATCAGTATCATTGTCACTTAAGTGTGAAAATTTAACATAAATAGACTAAAGTTGTCGTTATGGTCGCAACGACAACTTTACTTGTAAATAAACAATCTTCTTTTCAATCATAAATGTGATATTACTTCTTATTTTAATCATGTGATAATTAACGATGTTTTTACTTGGACGGTTTTTAGTCTTAGACTAGACCAAACCAGACCAAGCTTGAACGGTGATAAAATATACAGAGATCAGACATTTATCAGACCAGACAAAAACATTTATGTCCAAGTCTATATGACCACCACCAATGTTGCCAACGAACACCTGCCGTACACCACCTACCGCCGGCCATAGGTGTCCGTTTTTATTATTAATGTAAGCAGTTGAATTGTGCCTCTTTGGAGTGTTTTCTAACCTTTTTATTTTTTATTTTTGTTGAAATAGAGATGTGGAAGGTTGATCATGCAAACCGTAATGTATGATAAGGAATGAGGTTTTTAAAAGCGTATATCAGTATATGGGCTGCATCACAAGAAAAGAATGTAGAAAAAATGTATTGCTACACACTCTTACACACTCATGTTTGTGAATGTTTTTTTATGTCTGTCCCAGACAAAACGTATTTGACAAATACGTTTTATCTGGGACAGACATAAAAAAACGCCTCACAGATATGAGTATGTAAGAGTGTGTACACAAAGTGTGTATCCCAAGTCTGATTGAAGAATCTCTATCTATAAGTAATAAAAACTTTTAATAAATAACATTCTTCGTTCAAATATTATTTAATTGTGAAAGTAATGTGTATTTGATCACACAATAGACCGAAAATAATTTATTTAATGCGATCGTAATATATTAATTATTAACATCAATGGACTGATATTTATGAATTTCTATCATGAATTTACTATTGCATTCTAACACTGAAAATGGATCCATGCATACAAAAAGTTTTATGTACGTATTTTGTATTATTCATATTTTTGAATTGAATTTCATTCTTCTATGATAAAGCAATTTAATCTATGTTCACACTTTGATTATTTTTAGTAAATAAAATTAACATATTCAGAAACTACATTAAAACCGCTACAAAGCCTGATAAAAAATGTAAATTTGATAAAAATTTGATTTATAAAGTAAAAGATTAAAAATGATTTAAGTTGACCATGTGAATAGTGGATGGGAACCTTCAAATGCACACCAATATGACAGCAAAAGAAAATTTCAATTTAAATAAAAAGTAATAGCACCCTTTTTTAGCAAGTAGCAACAAATCATGATTAAAGGAATCAATTCCAAAATAAACATGCACAAAGAAGGATAACATATATAGTAATTATCTAAAACTACCATCTAATTACCTAAGACTCCAAACACAAAGAGCCATGGGTGGTGAAGGTAAACAGCCATCTTTAGCTAGCTAGCAATTAAGCTGCTAAAAGGAACACAATAATAATCCTATCCCACTCTCTTGAGATGTAGAAGTATATATATAGAATCAATTATATATTGATCAAAAAAATTAGCTCTTTGAGAATATAATCATTCATGAGATAGAACTATTATTGAAGCAAATTATAATCCCAAAAAAAAATTATGTAAAAGACACAGCTGAGGGTTACAATTTTTATAAGGGGGAGAGAAGTTGTGTGCACATACTATACTGACAACTCATCCTTATTGCATGAGTTACGTAGAATTGCAGGTGGCATGCATTCAATTATATATTTATGAACACTATTTTAAAGTTAAAAGTCTTTCCAGAATTAGACAATGTAATTTCCAATACATGGGGAATGTACTCAAATACTCACCCTTGCCTTATTCTGTCCCCATACTTATTATGGAAAAACTAGAAAAATGGTATAGAGTCAACGATGAATATATACTTTTTTTCGAAAGGAATTAAAAAACTAAAATTTTAAAATATGAGTAAAACATTGTCAAGATTCGAAAATATGATTAATTGATGTATAAGTATACTTTATTCCTAGACTAAGACTTATTTATTCTAATTACAAGTATTAAACAATACAAACCTCTCAAAGTATGAGTCATATTTCGGAAAGAGTGCAATAATGTTACTCATATTTGAGAAAATGTGTTATATATGTTTCTCCCTTTTAGAAAAAATTTTCTATTCATTCAACATAGAAAATCTATATTGCATAAATAATTATAGGGAATTTACTAGTCTAAAATCTTCTACCTGTAAAAGTTGATTAGTTTGCATCATCGTTAGGTTTTTTTATTATTATTTCAGTAACTTTCTACACGCGGCTTATATTTCTATTTCAATTCATTTGACTCAATTTGAGTCGCAAAACTAATAAAAATAATCAAACATATAAGTCATCTCATATGATTGTTTACTTGCGATATGATGGGTTTGATTATTACAGTGATTTCGTCATTGCTTAGGACTTAATTGAAATAACAAGTTATTTATGAAGTCAAAAAATGACTTACTCATTAAACTATAATGTAGTACTCCTTCACATTAAGATGTTTATTCGGTCAATTTTTTAAATCAATTATGGAATATATATGTGTGTGTTAATAAATAGACTATATAGTCCATTTATTAATCAGAAAATACACAACCTCAGCCCGAGGGCAACGGTGCGGCCCAAAAAATTGCAATTCTTTAGCCCCACTTTTCCTCCTTTATAATAGATGGGATGGGAATATGTTGAGTTCTTGTGTGTTTGGACAAAAGTACCGCTGCGGGAGTTAGAATTGCCACCAAACTGCCGCCGCCTCAATTGGAACTCCGCCTCCGCCATTGGACTGCAGGTCGTCATCGCCGCTGCCATCGGACTGCCAGCCAATCATTGTCGCAAGCTCGGTGGTTGTTTGATCACGTGTTGCATGTGACATGCTTGAAGTTGTGGAATAATGGAACAGGTTACCCTCTAAGAAACCCTGGAAGATTATATATAATAGAATAAATGTCATAAATACAATTGGGCTACACGCCCTCAAGTTATGCAGGAGAGGCAATGAGCAGGATGTTTTTAAGAAAATTAAATTGCTGAATAAAAAGACTTTTAGTAAAAATATCAGCAAGTTGAAGATGAGTGGGAACATATTTCACAACCAGGTCGCCATGAGCCACTCTCTCACGAATAAAATGGTAATCAATCTGAATATACTTGTTGCAAGCATGCTGAATAGGATTAGCAGTCAAGTAGGAAGCTGAGATATTATCACAGAAGAGTTGCGCAGGTGCGTTAATGGGAAAGCCGAGCTCGAACAAAATAGATCTCACATGTAAGTCGTATCCTGAACCGTATAAGCTATAACACGATACTCAGCCTCTGTAGCAGACTTGGAGACTGCGGGCTGCTTTTTGGACTTCCAGGAAACAAGATTGGTGCCCAAGAAAACAACAAACCATGTAGTAGAGCGAGAACTATCTGGACAGTCTGCGCAATCAGCATCAGAATAAGCCATGATATAGGTAGGACGAACAAAAGTCTGGAGCCACAAGCCATAATCAAGAGTGCCCTGTAGATATCTAAAAATACGCTTTACAGCAAGCATGTGAGTAGTATGTGGGGCATGCATAAACTGAGACACTAAATGTACTGCATAAGTAATGTCAGGTCGTGTCAAAGATAAATATTGTAATGCACCAACCATACTGCGGTACTCAGTGGCATCTGGAAGAAGCTCACCATCAGTGAGAGTGAGAGAGTGGTGTGTGTAGCAAGGGGAGTACGAACAGACTTGAGAGTGTGTAAGTGAAAAATTGACCAACACAGAAGAGTTTCCTGTAATAACTATATCATCTACATATAATAATAAATAAATGACATAATTATTGTTTCGATAAATAAAGAGAGAATGATTAGACTTACTGCACACAAAGTTATGCGTAAGTAAAAAACTACTAAATTGGTGAAACCAAGCTCGCGGAGCTTGCTTGAGGCCATAGATTGCCTTGCGCAAGCGACACAAAATGAGTACGGAACTGAGGATGAATATAAACCCACGCCTGACGCATGTAAACCTCTTATGTAAGATGACCATGTAAGAATGCATTTTTAACATCCAACTAACGCATAACCCACCCAAGAGATATAGCAATAGTAAGAACCAAAAGAACAGTATGGGTTTAACAACGGGACTAAAAGTCTCAGAAAAATCAACCCCATCCTGTTGATTAAAACCTTGGGCCACTAACCGTGCTTTATGACGCTCAATAGAACCATTTGAATGGTATTGAGTTTTATAAATACACTTTGACCCAACCACATTTTTAGTATTATCAAACGGAACTAACTCCCAAGATGTATTCATGATAAGAGCATTAAATTCCTCTCTCATAGTCTCACACTATTTCATATGTTTATTAGCCTCAGTAAAACAAGTAGGATCAAAAGAATTAACAAATGTGTTTAAGCTAAAAATTGTTTTTGGTTTAAAAATTCCAGACTTGGCCCAGGTTTGCATGCGATGAACATTTAGGGACGGAACAATAGGTGATGATGACATCGGGCTTACGGACGGAGAAGAGAGAGGGCCTACTGGGGCAGAATGGAGCCGTATGGAGGAGGGACTGGAGGGGATTGCTGCAAACTCTGTAAACAAATGAGCTACGGTTGGTGGGGTGTGGCAGTCTACATCTGGGGCACAACTGAGACGGAGGGGGAGTTTTTGGTGAATGTTCCGGCACTGCAGGAGCTACAGTCGGTGGCAAGGTATGGGAGGGACCTGACGTGGTTACAGGAGGTATTATGGGCATAGGAGTGACAGGTAGAATGTACGTTGGGAAAGGAAGATTGATGATAACATGGCAGGAGGACGAAGAACCTAACGTGACATGCAAAGGGAAAGTTATTATCGTGGAAAAGAACATGACGGCTAATATAGACCCTACCAGATTTAGGCTCAAGACAACGATAACTCTTATATCCGGATGCATAACCAATGAAAAAACACAATGAACAGAACGTGGAGAGAGTTTATTAGAAGAAGTGGCGGAGATGTTTGGAAAACAAGAACAACCAAAGACACGTAAAAAAGAATAGTCAGGGACTTTGTTAAAAAGTTTCTTATACGGGGATAAGCCAAAAAGAGTGGGAGAGGGAAATCTGTTAATAATATAAGTAGCAATGAAGAGAGCATCTACCCAAAAGAAACCGGGAATAGATGCTTCAAGAAGCATCGTCCGAGTTAATTCAATTAAATGTCGGTGTTTGCGTTCAGCAACACCATTTTGTTGTGAAGTCTCGGGACAAGATTTTTTGAAATAAATTTCATGTTCATCAAAAAACTGCTGCATGTTAAAATTAACAAATTCACCCCTTCCATCACTTTGAAAAATTTTAATTTTGCAATTAAAAAGATTTTCAACAAAAGCCTTAAAATTTTTAAAATGATGAAAAACTTCAATCTTCTGACGCATTGGATAAATCCAAGTAAACCGGGAAAAATCATCAATAAAACAGACATAGTATTTAATTCCAAGATTGGATAAATCTGGAGATTGTCATACATCAGAATGAATTAAATGTAAAGGGGCAGAAGAAGCATGACTAGCATCCATAAAAGGTAAATGTTGTGATTTGCCTAAATGATGTCTTATCTCTTCGATGTGGCTGATTGTGGCTTAGAAATGTCCGATAGAAATCAAAGTAAGATGGTTTCCATTATTCTTCAGCCAAAAAAAATTTGATTTCTCCATGCATATCGGGTTTCCCATAAGTCCCGCCGTGCTCCATCCAGACAGCATCACATATGCGGGAAAGTCCCTAATTATCCACGTTAGTGCCGCTTCTTTCATATTAAATATTTGGTCTCGCGAAATATCGTATGTTGGAACACCTACATCTCATAGTTGTTTCAACTCATCAATAAGAGGCTGGAACAAAATGTCTATTCTCTTCTTGGGATTATCAGGTTATGGACAGATTGATGTCAAAAACATGAAAGGACTCTTCATACACATATATGGGGGTAGATAATAAGGTGTGACTATAATAGGCCAACAAGAATATTGACTCCCATATTGACCATATGATGCAAACCCGTCTGAACATAAACCAAGGCTCACATTGTGCGGCACTATAGTGAATTGAGGATGACAACGATCCAAATGCTTCCACGCTTCTGAATTTGATGGATGACACATCAACCCCTCTTTTATTTCATGTTCAAGGTGCCACGTCATTTGGTTAGTTGTTGCATTTGAGCCATACAATCTTTGTAGTCTTGGGGCTAATGGAAGGTAAAATAACTTTGAAACAGTGTCTCTTCTGTGGCTTGCGAAAATTGTCTGACTTAATGGAAAATATCTACAACGTCACAAAATTTACAACTCGACAATGCCTCATCGTTCTTCCAAAACAACACACATCCATTTGGACCAACATGGACATGGATAACAGGGAGACCCAATTCTGATACATATCTTTTCACCTTGTAATATGTATCAAGAAGACAATTAGTGGGTAGTAATAGCATACTACCCACTAATTGTAGTATTCTAGTCATACAATTGTCAGGCAAGTTATATTCTAACTTTATATTTAACAGGTCAAAAATAGCTGACAATTGTTATTGATCCTCACAATTATAATACAATGGTTGATC